TTTGTGTGTGTGTGTGAGGAAGATCAGCCCTCAGCTAACATCTGATGCCAATCCTTCTCTTTTTTTGCTGGGGAAGATTGGCCTTGAGCTAACATCTGTGCCCGTCTTCCTCCACTTTATATGGGACGCCGCCACAGCATGGCTTGACAAGCGGTGCGTCAGTGCGCGCCCAGGATCCAAACCTGCGAACCCTGGGCCGCCGAAGCGGAACGCACGCACTTAACAACTTGCGCCACTGGGCTGGCCCCTGTGTCTCTATCTTAAAGTTCCAACTTTAGGAACAGAAGTTTAATCACATAATTTGTGAGGAAAATCATTTTGCCTACTCCTCATTGACTGCAAAATGCAAGAAAGCATAAACAATAGGCCACATCAACTCCAAGCAAAGGCTACATCCTACAGAAGGCTCTGAGCATCAGAGCTTTAAATAAACAGCTGCTTGGGCACTGCTCTCTCTGTAACATGGGGAACTTGAAAGTGGTGCACTGTGATGTACCACTTTAACTGGATCTTCGAGATAATACAGGAAATTTCAGCTCTAATTCCGCCTTCTCTTCAGGATGAATAAGATTAGTGTACTGATAACGGGAACAGCGGCTTGACAGAGCTTCTTGCTTTGCGGCAGGAAATGAAGCCTGAAGGACAGAAGATACCCTGGCTTTATCGAGGAGGATGAAAACCAACACAGACTTTCTGAGAGAAATAATTTAAAAGGTCAAACAAAGGGACAAAAACAACCTGAAATTCCCTGAAACTGATAAAGGACATTGTGGTTGCTGCATTTTTCACTCACCGATGATCAGCCGTGAACCCCCCATCTGTTAATCCTGTCCAGAACTGTCTAAGTGCTAATTATGAGCCATCATGTTATCTTGGAACGAGCCTTGTTCTGGGAGAGGGTGTCCAGAGTTGCGACTGGCTCTGCCTTGTGAGCTGCGGCATCCTGGGTGAGTCTGGGGAAGGTGCCCACAAATTTCCTTCCAGACCTAACGATAAAAATAGCTAGCACTCATGTAAAATCACAACCTTTACTCTAAGTTGTTTCTGTAATCCTCTCAGCAATAGCAATCCTGAGAGCTAGATATCAAAATTCCTGTTTTACATGGCAGGACACGGCTTTAGGGAGGCTACGACTCCTTGATCATCAGGTGACTATTTTTCTCTCAAAATACTGTGCTTTTAAGACGCCACTGGCAAGATGTCAACGAAAATGAGAGAAGAAAGCAGACTCTGGCACAAGATAAGTCATCTTTAAAGGAAAAAGAATCATTCTTGAATACATGTCTTAGAAAGTCATAGATTTATGGCTTTTTTTCATTCAAAATATTTACCAAACGCTACAAGGAACAGGGTGTTTTGCTGGCTGGCCTGGAGACCCCAGCACAGACACTGTCCCGTGATCAGTGGCTAGGGGCCCATGAGGAAATGACCTCCACACTCCCGGTTTGGACCATGCTCATTTATTAAAAGGCAAATGTTGCATTTTCAGTAAACATTTCAAAATATTATTCTAGACAATTTTTTTAAAAACAAAAACCCACATCCTAATGCAGTGCGAAAATGTATAAATTGTACTTGTTCTTCTGTAAGATTAAAAGGAAAGCTCTTCAAATTATTGAGAAAAAGTATAATATCAACTCAAGAAGGATAAGTGAAATATGAAATAATATATTGAAATATTAAATATATATTAAATGTACAGATATATTAAATAAATATTAAATATTAGTTTCCTAGTGCCACAAAGAGATAATTTGTCTATGTACTTTTTTATTATTTATTTTTCTCTTTCTCAAGTCCCCTACTTTCAAATAAAAATAATTAAAATAACTACAATGACCCCTGAGTTCGGTAAAAATTGTAAAATATTTCAACATTTGCTTCAGTAATTAAATTCCCAATTATCCCCACAGCATGGATTGCAGGATTTATAGTTGCCTTTGAACTGCTGTCAAAATGCTGTCAAAAGTTCTCAAATATCACTTGTTTTGCGGGAGAGCTATTTAATTTGAAATTTATTGCCACAGATAGCACATTTAAACAAAATTACAATTTTATTCATTTGATTTGGTCCTTATAGAATCTACAAAGTAAAATCTCCTCTCATGAAAAACAAAGAGTGATGTACTGAGTATCTTACACTAATTTAAGCTACAGCCTTCTTACTGATAGTTTTAAAAACTCTGTCTTCTCTGAGCCCCAGACTCTCTAGTGGATGCAGTTTTCCCACATGTACCTGGAGCAGCACATCAAAAAGGATCTCATTAGCCTGCTTCTCTGACATAGTCTGTAGTTCAGTGAGTGGTACCATCATACTCCCAGCAATCGAAACCAAAATCTATATGTCATCCCAGATTTCTCTCTCCTCCTAACTATTCACATGCTTTCACAAGGGTCTGTGGGTTCTATTTCCTAAATATTTTTAATACCTGTTTTCTTACAAATCTATTCTTGCTGTATTTATCAAGGTCTTCATCATTGCTCCAACACACATCTCTATAGCCTTCTAAGCAGCCCTGTATTCCAGACAGGATTCTGTCCTAGCATTCACCACACTGCTAGATGATCTGTCTTTCTAAAGTGGAGATATGATCGTACCTTTCTTGCTCTTTAATAGATTGACATCAACCACTGCAGAGACAGTGAGAGCTCCATAAACTTGCAGTTGGGGTCTTCCAGGATGGACCCTTGCCTGCTCCAATCCCTGTTCCCATAACTCCCCCCCCTTCACATTCTGACTCAGGTGTCCCAGGATGGAGAAAGATCCCTAACCTCTGCCCTACTTCCATTCAACACAGATCTGCTCTTGCTTAACGTAATACTGAATTGTAATTATTGAGTCACAAATCTGTCTCTCCCACTGGACCTTCAGAGCTTTAAGAGTTGGGACCTTCTTATTCAGTGCGGAATTCAGAGATAAGCGTGAACTGAAATGAAAACGGGTATTTTCCTTCACACTTGCTTTAGGTCTTAAATCTGTAACTACAACCTAATCTACAAACATGAACACAAGATTAACGTCACTTTGCCTCTATATGAAGGTATATGAAAGCACATATATTAAGAAATTGTACAGAGTATACTTCCTCTGTTAACATATACCTTATATCTACTTTAATTTTTGAAATAGTGTGTTCGAGGTCTATAGGTTTCAGAGCTAAAAACTTGTACCCTAATCCCTATAAATGTGCTCCATGGAGATTCTCATGTCTCAGCTTTATATCTAATGTAAATGTAATATCTTTGGGCAAAAATAAAATCACAGGGACTGCTGTGCTGACTTGAGTGGGAATAGTGTGATTTTTATGCATTTAGCTGATGTTGTTGCAAAATATTTTTCCCTTATGGAGTTCCAAGAATTTTAAGGAAAAAGTTCACCCAATCTTTAATTTGATGGCCTACAACTGTGAACAGTCAGTAAGTCAGGATCACTAGATGATGACAATCCATCTCTATACGCTAACTCTCTTTGGACAAAATACTAGCTAAAAAAATAAAAACCTGAAATTATCCTCAATTATTTTAAAACAGAAAATGAAAAATTCTCTAAATACAATTTATCTCCCATTGTAAATTTAAATTATAAATAAAGATACCAACAACCAAATAAAAAATACCTTTCCCTTAATATTTGTATTTAAACACCGAAGGAAAATAGCAATAAATCTATGGTAATCATAGTCTTCTTATTTTTAAAATCTTTTCAAATTTAGCCTAAAAAATGTTTTTGAAATTACAAGGTTGTTTTTTTTTAAATTTATTTATTTGGTGAGGAAGATTAACCCTGAGCTAACATACATGCCAATCTTCCTCTATTTTGTGTATGGGACGGCATGGCTTGACAGGGGCTGTGTAGGTCCGCACCCAGGATGTGAACCCTCGAACCCCCTCGAACTTTTGGCAGTTCTGCTCTCACTTTTTCCTTGTCCAGGTTGCTGTGTAGGTCACTACTTCTGTCACTGGCATTCTGTTCCCAGTGCCAACAACACATAGCCCACGGGGCTACTCTCTGAGAAATAGATTCTATTCCATAGACAGAGAGCAACAGAACATTTAAAGAAGATGAGAAGAATTTCTTCTTTTGAAAGAAAAGTACTCAGGTTTTAAAGAAAAAAAAAATCATCATTCCTAATGAAACAAGCTTACTGGATCTTCATGTTTATCTTACATTAAAGAAGAATTTCTGGAGGTAGAACATAAATAATGCAAGCTAAGTGTCTGATGAACTTTTTGTGGTTAAAGACAGGTACAATAAGTGTGACAAATATCTATTATTGTCTCAGAGCACAATACTAGAAAATCTAATATCTAATGAAAACAGAGAAAAAAGGAAATCTATATCAGGTTCCATTCATAAATCATAATTAGCTTTCAAAGACCAATATATTTCATTATGAATATAAATCTCAACAAAACAAAACTATGAAAATTTCATGACTTCAAAGCCTTCAATTAAAATTAAAATGCTTTATTTGAAAATCTGATTTTTATGCATATGATAGATAAAACGCAAAAAAAAGGCATGAAATAGTGAAAATAACTTTAACAAGCCCTATATTTAAATGACCAAAAGAAAGTGAAATATACAGCGTATGGCTAAAGAATGAGGTTTTAATCTAAAATAAGGTAAATGAATTTTAGTAATTGATTTTTTAAATTAATACAACTGTCAAGAAAAATTACTTTGAATCTAAACTGGATAACACATTTCTTACTTCAAACTGAAACACAAGTAGTAAGTATTAGAATAACTCTACCCAGCATCTAGTGGATGTTCAACCAACCTCTGAATTCAGGCTCTGAAGCTAAATCAAGCCCAGTGTAAATGTCAAAATTGTTTGCATGGCCAGTGGAAAGTTTAATTTGTCCTTTTATAAACCTACATTCAATTTCTCCTTACCTTTTATCCATAGTCACTGTTTCAGTAATTTTCAGAGTGTGATTAAAATAAGAACAATAAATTGAATTCAGGTTTGAAGATGAAAAACCACATTTCTTACCCTGGCACATTGGAGTGAGGGAATCCCATTGGTACATGCCAACGGGGTTCCGTCGACAGGTTGCATTGCTATGGCCGACCATCCGATAACCAGGCTTGCAAAAATAATGCACTTTACTTCCAACTGCGCCTGTGGTCCTATTTAAAACACCACCGTTCTTCAGGGTATGGGTCAAGCTGCAGTAAGGTGCTATGGGCACACAAACACACACACACAAATAAATAAACAAATAAATGACTGTTGCATTTCCCTTGGTAAGAGTGATACAAATGAAACATCTCTATTGTTGAAATAGTGAGAAATCACGCCAATATGTAAACTTGTTCTAAAAAGCATCCCCAAAACACCAAACACTGGTGAGGATGGGGAGCCACAAGAACTCTCACTCATTGCTGGTGGGAATGCAGAATGGTGCCGCCACTTTGGAAGACAACGTGGCGGTTTCTTACAAAACTAAACATCCTCTTACCATACAATCTAGCAATCATGCTCATCAGTATTTACCCAAAGGAGTTGAAAACCTATATCCACACAAAAACCTGCATGGGCATTTTTATAGCAGTTTTACTCATAATTGCCAAAACCAGGAAGCAACCAAGATATCCTTCAGTAGGTGGATAAATAAACTGTAGTACATCCAGACAATGGGATATTATTCAGTGCTAACAAGAAGTGAGCTGTCAAGTCAAGGAGACGTGGAGGGACCTCAAACGCATATGACTAAGTGAAAGAAGCCAATCTGAAAATACAAACTGTATGATTCCAACTTTATGACATTCTGGGAAAGACAAAACTATGGAGACAGTAAAAACATCAGTGGTTGCCAGAGGTTAGGTTGGGGAGGGATGAATAAGTGGAGCACATAGGATTTTTAGGGCAATGATACTACTCCGTATGATACTAATGATAGATACATGTCATGATCCATTTGTCAAAACCCATAGAAGGCACAACGCCAAGCGTGAACCGTAATGTAAACTATGGACTCCAGGCAATTATAATGTGTGAATGTAGTTTCATGGATTATAACAAATGGACCAGGCTAGTGGGAATGTTGATAACAGGGGAGGCTGTGCATGTGTGGGAGTAGGAGGTATTTGGGAAATCTCTGTATCGCCCTCTCAATTTTGCTGTGAACCCAAAACCTCTCTGAAAAAATAAAGTGTAAAAAAACAAAAGGTATCCAAAAAATCTAAAACCAAGGGTCAACTCTCTTATTTTGAAGTTTAATTACCTGTAACTGTTAATCATGTGAAGGTAGGATCCTGACTTTCTGACTAAAATATTGTAAAGAATACATAGGATCACAGTAAATCCCCTCGCTCATTTCTCTAAGGCTGGTTACCCACTGAAATAAGCTTATCAATCACCAGAATAAGAAATGGTGAAGTGCTGCTCTGGACACCATACTTGAAACCAAAACATTCTCAGCACTACAAAAAAGCATCATTAAAATGGAGATAATAGAAGAATACAACTTTTTGCAATCAAGGCCATTAACTTTTTTCTTGTTGCTGCTAAGTGGACCTTGTGAATTGTACAATGATGTAGACATTAAGCTTCTTTCTACCATATGGGATTTAAATAAGCTCTCTGAAGAAAATGCACTACTTCAATTCAATAAAAGTCTTACAATAGCTTTAATCATCGCCTTTGTAGGGAGACTTTTTAAAATTAAAGACAGTCATTTGTTAAAATAACACAGTCTTACCTACACAGAATATAACATTTTGATGGCTAAAAGGCTCTGCATCTTATTTACACATTTAGAGAAAGAAACTCATTTTATTCTCCCAAGACCAGTTTCATTGCAGCATAAAATCCTATGAACTCCCTTCAGATGAATTAAAACAATCAAATAACAAGAGCTTGAAGTACTGAAAGTTCGTGGTTCCTTTTGAAAGAAGACATTTTAAATGAGCCACTTCCCTATGGGGGTTCCATGTACAAAGAACACACACACAGGTCTGCATGCTTAATGTTGAACCTTTCCTTAGAAATCAGTTCAGAAGAAACTTTCTCAAGGTTTCAAATCACAGCATTGCTCAGAAGCAATGCCATGTGTCTGGCCTCGATTGTCGTGTTGAGAGGTATCCTCAGAGAAGAGCCTCAGCTGGGTGGTCTTCTCAAGCACCATTTCATTAAAAAAAAAGACTGATTTTTATTAAGGTAAAATCTACTAACTGTTGTAAGAAGCTCTTGATTCATTGCCCCATTTGCCGTGGTATTTCCTACATCCAGTTGTTCTAGTCTATTTTGTAAGTTTTGAATGAACCAAAATAGTTAGTTTAGGGAAAGTATGAGTATAATCAGGCACCTGGGCTGCCATCTGCCCAGAATCATCGTGCTTGTGTGGAAAAAGAAAAAAAAAAGAGAGAGAGAATGAAAAGGAAGGAGAAGGAGCAGACTGTGAAGTCAGAGAAAAGAGAAAGTCTGAAAGACCCCTGACGGGGCAGTGACCATAGTTCTCTGGTGTCATCTGTGACTTCTGTCCTAGTTCAGTCTGTGAAGGGACGTAGTCTGCGGGATAGTAGTCTGACTCCACAGAGTCCGATAACTGTCTGTTTTCTTTCTTATTTACCATATTTCTTCTATCACAGGCTCTCAAGACAGCTCTTCTTTCCTAGCTCACCTAGAACAAGACATGTAGGGGTCCAGATGGGGAACAGCACAAAAGGAAATGGGACAATCAGAACACAAGGTCCCGCCTGTTCCATTCCTGGCTGTCGTAAGAATTAAGAGGACCAGTGTCCAATCCTTAAACTCTGCTGGTGGAGCCTTGGAAAAGCAGTGGGGTAGTAGGAAGACAGTCAAGCAGACACCCACGATGGGAGAAGGCTGGGAGAATGAGACATCCTGGAATTTCCAGTCTGTATTTTTGACTGTCCCAATACTGAAGCTTACGTATACCTCATTTAGTATGGAAGGGACACTACTAGCTCAGCAACCACATAGCACAGTTTACTGAATTGACTAGAACCACCATCAGACAGGCACTTGCTTTGTCTTTTTTATTTTCATTTTTCAATTACGTTGATTGATTATATTGCTCTTATGCCCGGATGGCCGATAATTCCCATGTGGAAGGCAAGCAAAGATTCAGATGCAACGTGTGGTCGTACTATGGGCTGGTGCTCCCTTGCCCACACTGTTATATATCAAGGGCACTGTTATTCAATCACTGCTTTAAACTTACTGGTGATGAATTCCTAGCAGAGGTCATTGAATCACTGAATTTTAAATGAAAATCTGTTAAAAGATTATCTATATCGGTATCTAGACAGATAGATAGACTGACAAAACATAAAACTGTCCAGCGTTCTCTGAAATTCTCCATTTTCCTACTCTTCCAGGACAGTTTAACACATAGAATCTTGTTGTCCTATGATGAATGAAAATATCCTTTGAAAGACAGAATTCAAGTTATAATCATATCACCAGGCTACTAAGAAATTTGCCACCAATAAAACAAGATAAATTACGTTCACCATGATTTCCCCTGCACTGTCCATTTTTGCTCACTGGAAATAAATTCAAACTATTCTAAAGGTCTGAGTATTATTTTTCAGAACAAGGACTTTGATGAACACAAATCCAATCATTGTTCTCATGCTCTCGTAACTCATTCTAATGGAAGCAATTTCGACTGGAAGCTCTTTGTTGATAAGCTTTCTGAATGGCTACTTTGAGAGAAGAGGAAAAAACCAAAGGTCTGGGTGTATTTTATTAAACTTTACAGAGGAAGGATGACTGAATTGCACACCCATTGTCCTCACATCAAGAGCCTTGCAGAACCTCGATGCTTCTCACCATTTCATGATGTCTACCAACTGGAGAGAGCTGAAATCTTATTCTTAAAACTACCAAGACTTTTTCCTGTTCCTGCCTCAGGATGTCGCTCATCACTGATGATGTAAAACACCAACACAGGAATAAGAAATCTTCTGTAAGATATACTGTTCAATTAAATTTATACAATGGGCATCTTCCTTAGAGAAATACATCTCAATTGTTACCATGGGACATTGTTGAGTGAGACATTGAAAAAAGTTTAGATTTTTTGCTTACTAATTAAAATATCTCAGGGAATTAAATTGTCTGTCTACTGCTTCTGTAGGGCAGTATTAACATTAGGTGTGGGTCAGGTCATATTGACAAATGTACACAGGATCTAATATATCATAAATGTGTTGACTGATTTAATTAATATAAATAACTACTGGCAGAGAATGATTAAAGTATATTGGAAAAGAACAAAATAATTTAAATGTTGATAAGAAATATATATATATATAAACATTTATTTTGTATGTGTTTATATGTGTGTATATATACATATATAGTGTGTGCATATATAAAGATAAAGAGACATACAGATAGATAATCAATAAGAAGACATACTATTAATAATAATTATTACCACTTATAAAATTAATAGCAATATGATTATCTCTTCCTGTTTGCTTACTCAGCATTTAAATATATTTTAAAATTAATTTATATTATATTACTTTATCTTTTGGGAAATGTCTTTGGTTTCCGCGGTATGCAATTCAATGGTTTATGATTTTAGCAATAAATTTTTAAAATATTAATCAACAAATAGTTTATTTTCCCTAGCATAGTTTAGATATATCACTCAGAGTAATTTCCCATCATATTATTTCCACTGAAGTTAATCATTCATCTTCAGAAATTAGGTTTATATTATAAATCTCTATCTAATATTTGTCATTTAACCCAGATCACTTGTATTTAAAACACTTTTATATTAAAGCTAAACCTCACTCACTCACCTGCATAACGAATCTTGAATCCTCTTTTACTGGTGGCATGATCGGTGGACCAGCGGAGAAATAACTGATTGCTCTTGCTTGTAAAATTTGATTGCTCAGTGTGGTTCCCACTTAAGACCACTAACAGGGGACTCTGACCGGAAGACCCTAAACAAAACAGAAAAACAACAAAGTTCAGATAGAAGAGAGCACCTACAGAATGCAGACTGCTTACAGCTGTTAATTAAATTGCAGTCTAAATGCACAATACACAGCTATTTATCTCCAAAGTAGTCAAAACGTTCCAAATGAATAAAGCAACTAGTACGATATTCCTTGATAAAAAAAATAAATAACCAACCAAAATAATTTCAGATGCACATGCTATTCACACATAACGCTGAAATCAAATGAAACTTACCTATAAAATAGCAGTAATTGAGAAAATGGAAGTAATTTTTATTAGTAGTAGTATTTAGAACATTGTATGGATATGGGGAAATGGAAACTTTCATGCAATATTGGTGGAAGTACAAATTAGTATAATCTCTTTGGAGAGTAATTTGGTAATATCCAGTAAAAGTGAAGGTTTAATTATATTTCTATAAACTCCAGCACATGTGCACAAGTGTTATTTATGTAGCAAAACGTTTATTCCAGCATTGTTACTTACAGCAAAATTTAGACCCTAACTAGCAGTTTGTAGTTTTAAAAAAGAATTGAAAGTGCCATAAAAAGAAATTCTATACAGCATTTAAAATTAATGAACTAGATAAACATGTGACAGCATAGGTCATTCTTAAAACAGCTTATTGACAACTGAAGAAATCTATTTGCAGATAAATATAAATGATAGCAATTGTGCAAAAATTCAAAATGTGTAACATATAGTGTGTGTGTGTACATAGGAGATGATAGATAGATAGATAGAGAAAGAATTACAAAAACATACACAAGCCTGACACACCAGCTCCCACTTCACAATACTAATTCCCCCAGGGAGAGATGCAAGGGGAATTGTGCATGGGTGGAGCCCCTACATTTATCTGTACTCCTTGCTTCTTTAAAAAAACAGAGCTGAAGGTAATTTTGACAAAATCCTAAAATTCATTATATCGAGTAATGAGTCCATATCTATATTTTTTCTAAATTTTTAAAAGTTTAGAAAAGTTAATACTTGATATATAGTTAATATATAATCAACTAACATCACTCTTCTCATCATATCCTGATGAGAAATGTTTGTTAAGAGAAACGGCTTTACTGGATACAGAAGCTGCATACACACTTCTGTGTGGGTCTCACCCACACAGTGTGTCACCCAAGACATTTCTCTGGTAGTGCACTCAGCGCTTTCTCATAGTCTAGAAGCCTTCATGGCTCTTCTGCATTATACAATTCACTCCCAGGAAACACACTACTAGTGGGAGAAGGCAGCTCTCGTTGTAGATGTAATACAGATTTTATCAGGTTAAATGACATATATCTTTGAGAGCTGTATGTAGAATTTTTGTTCATGCGAAGAGATTAGAAACCACAGCTTCATTCATTGTGCAACTCCCAATCAGAGCTGTTCTAATGGTTTTTCCAAATAAAACTATTATGGACTTAATTGTGTCCCCCTAAATTCATACGTTGAAGTCCTAATCTTCAAAACCTCAGAATGTGATTGTATTTGGAGATAGGGTTTTTAAAGAGATAATTAAGGCAAAATGAGGTCATTAGGGTGGGACCTAATCCAATATGACTGGTGTCCTTACAAGAAGAGATTAGGACACAGATATTCACAGAAGGATGGCCACATGAGGACAAAGTGGGAAAGCAGCAGTCTGCAGGCCAAGCAGAGAGGCCTCAGGAGAAACCAGCCCTGTTGACACCTTGATCTCAGACTTCTAACTTCCAGAACCGTGAGAAAATAAATATCTGTTGTTTAAGCCCCTCCGTTTGTGGTACTTTGTTATGGTAGCCCTAATAAACAAATACAAAAACCAGCTTATTCAAGATGACCAAGGCAGCGTTCAGTTTAGTCAGAGTGAAGAAGGATCAGAAGAAATGCTACTTCTTATTGTGAAGGACGGTCTTGGGTCAGTTTCCTGGATGACGTAAAAGGACGTCTACATTTCAGAATGGAAGGAGTCTGTCATGTGTTTTGTGTGCTGGTTTACTCGTTGTTGTTGTCTAAAGAGATCATGTGTATTCTAAAATAAAATGGCACTGAGAAATTAATTAACCTGAACTTGTGAAATTTAGAAATGTCATTTTTTTGTGTGTGTGTGTGAGGAGATCAGCCCTGTGCTAACATCTGCCAATCCTCCTATTTTTTTTTGCTGAGGAAGACTGGCCCTGGGCTAACATCCGTGCCCATCTTCCTCCACTTTATATGGGATGCCTCCACAGCATGATTGCCAAACGGTGCGTCGGTGCACTCCCAGGATCGAAACGGCGAACCCCGGGCGACCGCAGCGGAGCACGCGCACTCAACAGCTTGCGCCAGCAGGCTGGCCCCTAGAAATGTCATTTTTAATGACAGAACTCAAGAGGAGAGTTTCAGGTACTCTTAATCCAACATCTATTCCTTCATCACTTCCCATCTGTTCTCTTTGCCTAACATGTAACAAACTTTCTACAGGACTAGTCTTTAAAAATCACATCCAGGATCCATCTTGGTGGTGTAGCAGTTAAGTTTGTATGCTCCACTTGGGCCACCTGGGGTTTGTGGGTTCGGATCCCAGGCGCAGACCAACACAGCTCATCAAGCCATGCTGTGGCAGCGTCCCATATACAAAATGGAGGAAGACTGGCACAGACGTTAGCTCATGGACAGTCTTCCTCACCAAAAAAAAATAATAATAATAATAATACACATCCAGCTCAGCATCTGTAGAAAAGCAACAGAGCCATATGGAGAGCAGCAGTCCATATTACCAATATGGAAATGACGGACTATTTTACAATCAAATACCGCAGTCTTTATTTTGACCCTTTATTAGTAGAGTTCTGTAATGAGTAAAATCCTATTTTTTTTTTAATTGAGGAATATCCACTACAGGAGCTGTAGAAAGTAATATACTTCTGAGCTAATAGAGTTTAAAATCAATATGTTCAACATGTTTCTTGGTCCACTCATGAGCTATAAAACAGCCACTGTCTTCCAAAAAAAGAGACGTAATGAATATGACATTTACTGCCACAAAAATGGCCAAAGCTTAAAAAAATCATTCATATAAAACTCTGACCTTTCATTTTCTAGAAAAATCTTTGAGACTAGAACACACCTAGTCATAGATCTCTGAAAACAGTGACAGCAGCTGCTTTGATGCCGTCTCTAGTATCTACTTTGCTTGCTGTTTATAACGGGCGTGATCCGTCCATATTTGGGGGAGACCAAGTTGTAAGCACTTAGGGCATAAATTATTTATAATGATTTTGCTCCTGAAATGAGAAGAGGTAGAAGCACCGCCAGCTAAATTCCAATTCAACTAAGGTGAAACAAAGGATCACGCATAAATTTAAAACAATTATGTAAATGTATTTAATTATATACAGTCTGTAAAGGAATACGTGCGTGTATACACACACACACACACACACACACACACACAGCCCCTGGGGTTGGTTGCTTGCCTTTTTAATGTTTTCTGATACCTGATTGCCCTCAGGATAGAGTTAACCTGGTTCCCCACTGACGTAAGAAGCCCATTTGTGCACTTGGCCAATGAATTACTTTTCTCATCCTCATGACTAAGGGGAAAGTCTTCAACAGTGCGTGTCTGTTTTAACGTACACTTAAAAGAGAAAACACTCTGAAAATGAAAATATTGCTCTTCAGTCCTATTTCTATGTGAGTTTAATTTCCAATTTAGTGGTTCGTCTTTGGAAATACATAAATTGATTCATGTGGTGTATCCATACGAGCAATTTGACTGTTATGATTCATCAAGTCAGTAAAAGGCAGACAAACACACATAGAATCAATTACAGTATTTTTTTTCACTGAATTGATTGGTATTTATCTGAACTCAATGACAAATCCATCAAAACATGTGAAAACCCTGTTATTATGTACAGCCATAATTGTATCTTGGTCTAATTTTCTGGGCTATGATAACGCTTCTATACAAGAAAAATATCAACATTGGTTCCATTTTAAACTGACAATTCAACCACATACTTCTTCTAAGCATAGCATTGTTATATAAAAAGTTCATTAGAATTGTATAAAAATGTATAAGACTAATGTTGAAAACAGTACTAGCATTTGTTCATTTGTTCATTAAATATTTCACTATTTAAAAAATTGTACATTAAAGACTTCTATAGCATTTATCATCTAGAAATCTCTGTGAGCCATCATTTTTATATATTTCTAGTAAAATAATCATTTAGATTGAATAAAGTACTTTTAGACCTCTTAAGTTTCCTAAAATACCCTCTGAATCAATATAATACTTAGAAGGAGAGAAAGCAAAAGTTTTTTGAGACCATCTACTCTAAAACCCCACATTAAAGAATTAAAGAATGGTTCAAGTAAATTCAGAACATTTCAGAGTGCATCACTAAATTGCAAAATTAACAACAGTATGGTAAAGTTTTACAGACCACTTGATCTCTGAGAACACAGGAGTCCAGGAATAATTCACTTTCTGTTTGGCGAAGATGTAATTTACCTCAAGAATATATTCAAGCTCTTGTGTTACAAAAACATTATAACGGTGTTTTTGTTACATTATGTCTGGGTCATTGTTACATTATGTCTGGGTCACCAGTATGTAAACAGAGATGAAATAAACTTACCATCAAATACTTCCAGTGCATCAAACTGCTTTTCACTTTGAAATGTATCCACAAAGATAGTGATGTTATAGTTTGGGTCCACTTTAATACTCCAGGAGCATGTCTGGGAGTTAAAATAGTTGCCTGGATAACCTGGACTGAGGATTACTCCAGAAGATTCTGTCCGGACTTCATTTGCTGGGCATTGTGCTGATGAGAAAAATACCGGTAAAAGTTTTCCCTAACAAAATGAATACAACTTCAACAGGATGGTTTCTATCCTTGCATATACAAGCCAATGGAAAGAAAAGGTTACCCTACTGAGCTGTGACCAAGTTTAACACAGGATACAAACACAGAAGGAGAGCAACATTGATTCACAATGAGTAACATTT